CGTCCAGGACGATTTTTCTGGTCTGATCGTCCCGGGACGATTTGGCGATCGGCCGGGCCGATCAGACAACTGATTTAAAGAAATCAGCTCGTTTTGATGAGAGAGAAAATATTTTTAAAAAACAAAATATCTATTTTAGAGAGAGAAAGAGAAAAGGGAAAAAGAGGAATCTTGGGTTTTGGAGGCCGCGGAGCGCTTTTCGTCCGACGCTGCTGTTGGGAAAAGTGAAGATCTCGTGGTAAGGACTCCGAACCCTATTTCTGTTTTCAAAGATATTGAGTTTTGACCGAGTTATGATTTGTTTTGTGTTTTCGTAGTCGTCTTTTCGACGTGATTTGGATTTGGCACAACTTTCACCGCACAACTTTTGATATGTTATAGATATGATTATTGCACACGATTTGACTGTATTCTACGAAGATTTTACCGGTCGGAATTGATTCTACGCGATTTTAATCGAATAGAAAATTATCGGGACTTGATTTGATTTGGTTTCTATAGGATAATAGTCTTATATTGATGTTATGGATCTTCGTCTGTAATTTGGAAAGATTTGGAATTTGTATCTTTTTGCAGGATTTTTGTGTAAATACGACTAACTGCCTTTACATTGATTGTTGTGCATCGACATTGAGCATTGATATAGAAATGGATGAATATAGATATTGTATTGATAGCATGGACATGAATAGTATAGAATTATTGATACTGTTGCCTATGGATTTATTGATTTTGTATATAGATTCATTGCTTTCCTCGTATTGATTTCATTGAATAGATATTTGAATAGACCGCATTGATTTGATTGATAGCGATTGATTTAACGGATTGATCTATTCGACGACTTGATTGATTTGGTGAATTGATCGATTTCCTATTGTGTACGGATTTCTTCGCGATTGAGTTGATTTATTGATCGTCTGCCGCTGCATTGACTGGTTTTATTGACTACTGGATTTCCGTATTGCACAGATTCATTGACCATTGACTGATATAGATTTGATTGACTGTGATTGATTGACATGCATATTGATAGCATCGTCGTGCTTTGATTTCAGTTATAGGTATTAGGTGACCTGCTGGGCTTTGTAAAGCTCATTATATGTGGTTAATATTTTCAGGTCAGGGCAAGGGAGCAGAAGATAGGAATTGATCCAGATCTTCAGGTTTTTGTCTTTTGATTGATTTTGATTCTTTTGTACTCAGGATAGATTTCAGTACTGATGATTGTAGTGTAGTTCCTGAGTATTGTACATGACTTTTGAGATATGAATCGACTTGTATATTGATGTTTTAAATTTTATAGATGTTTGATAGACTATTAATTGAAGGTTTTAGATAACTCTGGTAAATTGTTTGAGAAATAGATTGACATTCTTTTCAAGTTAGATCTTGAGGCATCACAACTGCTGTTGTCATAGGAGCGTTCTCCCAATCACTATCCACGACTTCCTGAACCAGAGGTTGGATGGACATGGTAGAAGCAGCATCCTCACACGGGATGGATGGGCTCGAGATACAAACCTGGACGGAATCGGCGTGAACGTCCGAAGGAGTTTCTGCCTCAGGAACGAATAAGTCAGAGCGTTGGGCATCTGAATTAGAATCTTCTTCAATAGAGCTGCTATCTGATGGAGTCATAGCTGCGGATGCGAGTGTCGGATCTCGTATTTCAAAGTCCAAAGGAGCAGGAATTCGAACGTGCTGTGCGTGTGGACGGGAAGCGTCTAAGGGCTATGATCGGCAAAGGCATGTCGAGTCTCCCTGGAGTATGTCGACAGAGTTCTCCGGCTCCTTACCAGAGTCTCGCTGGAGGTTCTCCGGCTGGGGCTCCGATTGCAGAATGTCGACAGAGTTCGGAAGTTCGTCGGCTGGGGTTCCGGTTGCAGGAAGATTGAGTCTCGCTGTGTTCGAATGCTATGATGCAGGCAAATTGGGTTGCGTGCGATGTTTGGTTGCGGAAATCTGTTCGGGGGCCTGGTCGTTTGCTGCCGGTATCGATGGATCGGCGGCAGGTCATCGGAGTTGGGCTTGGTCGCAAGCCAGGATCGTAGAGTGGAGTTGGCCGGCGGCAAGCGGTGGGAGGTCGAAGACAGGATTGTCGTCCTGCGGGTTTGGGGCGTATCCCACTTCCAGAGATGTTTCTATTTGATCAAAATCGATCTGGATCGGATCAAGATCAAAGTTCTGTTTGCGAGGTGACGTAATCTGTGTAGGCGGAGGATTTCGCCATCGCAATGGAAGCTCGAGCGATGGGTATTCCGGCGGTGGATCATGCCATCTGAGCGGGAGTTCGAGCGGAACGTAATCATCAACGACCGGGGGAGTATGGAGGGACGGATGGCGTCTACATGAAACGGACGAGGAGATCGAAGAAGAAGAATACCTCGGTATGGTTGCCGACGACATTCTCATCTTCCTTATTGCCCGAAGGTTTTCGCGAATCCGATCAAGTTTTCTGTCTACCTGATCGAGCGATTCCTTCGATTGAGCTTGATAGAAGGCGATCCGGCTTCGAGCATCGTCGACAACCCACCTTCCTTGGCGTCGATCATCGTCGACCGCCAATCTTGTTTTGTGGCTTCGATCGTCGTCGACAGCCGACCTTCTTCCACAGTCCATCGATCTTCGCAAGCTCCAGGCTCTGATAACAACTGATGTAGTGGATCGTCGGAAGATGCGACCTGCAAGAAGGATTTGGGTTTTCTCAATCTAGGGAAGAAGAAGAAGAAGCTTTCAAAGCTTTAAAAAGGGGATGATTTCATTTAATGCCCTTTTCCTCCTACAATGCACTCATATATATTAAACTAAAGAGTATTCTAGAAACTAGATAAGGTGTTCCTAAGGAGAACAATTCTATCTTAAAATGCACCGCATCAGAGGTAAAGGTAGCAAAAAGATTCTTGGATCAAAAATTCTGCATCTTTTATACCTATCCGCAAGCTTGTTCATCAGTCGATTAAGTTCCTTTGGATTTCCACCAATTTGCAAGCCTCTTACCTGATATGCCACTAGTCCATGGAAGTATTCAGTGATCAACTTGTTTCATGGTAAACCTATATTTTCCTTGTTATTTGAAGCTACGTTAGAAGTGTTATTTTCCCCATCTTGAGCAAGACGGATTCTTTGACGATGCTGATTAAACTCTTGGAAAATTTTATTTATAGACCCAAGAGCAACAACAACAATATTGATAATATCCCCTACTTTCAGCCATTGCAGAGTGTCCCAGTCAACCTCCTCCCTAATCAGAGCTTCCCATATCGGTGCAGATCCAATGCTCTTAGGCCTTAGCCATTCGAAGACAAGATTAGTATAAAAAATGACGAGTTCATTTGTTATGGTCGACGAAAAGCATGCCAGTGCTACTTGTTGATGGGGCGATGTTTTCACTATGTATAGTAGGGACAAAAGGTAGTAGACTCTCCTTAGAGGGGATTTGTAGGAAGAAATGATTTTAGTGCAGGACAATCTAGAAAAATTGTAGAACATAGGACTTTTGGGTCAAGAGCATATAATGAAAGATTAATAAATAAGAAAAATGATAGAGATGTCAGTGATATTTAGAGGGAGACTATTGTACCACGACCAACTGCACCTACTCCAGTAATGCCACATGTATACAACTTGCAGTATTTGGAAGACTAACAACAATCTCAAATTTCTACTGGTAAGAATTTTATTTTTATGATTGAATGACATAACATATCATGCATAATTGAATGACATTTGATAGAATATTAAACTGCATGCACTACATGAAAATCATGTATTACCGATAGATTTTCTGGCGGATTTAAAAGTTTTCTAGTACATCTGCGGCAAAACTATTTTTCACCATTAAAACGAGTGTTGGAAAAAAATTAGGGCATAAGAAAAATTTGTCGAAAAAAATTTCCAGCAGAATTTGGCTGACGAAAAATTTTACAGCGGCTATCCGGTGAAGAAATTTTGTCGGAATAATTAAAATAATAATAATAACAAGCTGGCCGCCAGGCCAGCTCAGAAATAGATGTGGAATGGTATTTTAGAATATTAATCATATTTTGGATTATTTAGCTGGCTCTAGTTCATTTTGCATTATGGCTAAGAAAAAAAATAGGTTTAGGGATTTGATTCTTCCATTAGATCATAGAGAATGAAAGAATCAACAAATCGGGAAGAGGGGTATTGAGAGTCGGTGACAAACATATTTTAGATTGTTCGAACAATGGCATCATGTTCAATATCGTGTGATGGAGATTGTCATATTTGTTGATGATTGGCATTAAGCTTTGCCAAATAGAGTTATGGAATTCTATAATGTTAAAATTATGTCCACCAAAATTCATTTCTTGAATTTATACAAATATGAAATAGTTACAAATTTCAAAACATGCATTCACATCATTTTTCCAAAATATGTAGACTCCATACAATTTAAATAGAGCCCCTTAGTTCACATAATTATATATTTTTAGTATCCTAGTTACTTAAATATTTTTTTATTAATCTTAGATTTATTGGCTTCATCTTGTTGAATCTCTCATTTAGACTATAAGCACATAATATTTGAAAGACATTTGACCTCTCAAATATTTGGAGAAGTTTTCAAATTTGATTACAAATATTCTTAAGCTTGGCTTGTTGTAACATATGGTCTGAACAACAAATTTATTAAAAATTGAGTTCAAATAATCACAAAATCAATTCTTTAAATTTCTAGATCTAGTAATTGGGTGATGAGATGATCTATAATAGAGAAATTGACTAGTATTTTTTTCTTATTTTATTGAGAAGAAATCTACTTTTTTGCTTCACACAAGAAGAAGAAGACTTGAGAGTCTGTCATAATTGCTAACATTTTCTTCATATTTCTGCTAGAGTTGTGAAAGGAAATATTAATGAAAAAGAAATATTTGTTCATATTCCCTAAATGAAATCAATTACCCTAAAATTTCATTAAATCAATAAACTTATCTAAAACCATGAAATAAAGTGAATTTACATGACTCCCAAATCCCAATTCCATCAAACCACGTAGAGCTCTCCTCTCTTCCATTTTCTTCAATCTAAACCAAGCCAAAAATCTCTCCCGCTTCATCCGGCATCAGATAAGATACACCCAACCACCATGAAAGCGATGTCTTTTAAGAACTCGTCCATCATAAAGGCTTGCAATCTTCACCCTTTCTTCCAGCAAAAAAATCCATGGAAGAATTCAGCTTTCCTGCCATACCAGCAGAGCAAGACAAACTCTCCAATCTCCCTTCCCTTCCCTTCCCCTTCACTCCTGTTTGCTTCCTTCCATCTCCTTCCAATCAGAAATCCGAAGTCCTCCGAAACTACCAGCGAAGCAGAAGCTTCTCATGCCTGGAAGATCTGAAGCTCAGAGATGAGATAAGCTCTTCAGAAATCAACGATGAGGAGAAGATGGATATGCTGTGGGAAGACTTCAATGAGGAACTCAGCCAATTTTCCAGTGAGGGGAAAGCTGGAGGGAATAATGGCTTGGATTTCTCCAAAGCCTCAGATAAATTGGATGGGAAGAAGCGAAATGGTTCAAGAGAGCTCTTTCGTGTGAAAGCTGTTCATCATCGAAGACCTGGACTGGTGATGATACTGAAGGTATTTAAGAAGCTTCTCTTCATTCAGAAGAACAGAAAGAAGAGAACATCATCATCCATTTATCATATGTAATTAGGCCCATAGATTATTTCAAACTGATCTGTAAATTGATTTGATGGTAAAAGATCAAATCTTTAAGTTCTTTTGCCAAACAGAATAAAAGAAGATTGAAGTTTGTTTTCTGCATTTTTTCAATCATTTTGCTTTTGTGTAGCTATTAATAAAGTAAAAGTAAAATATTTTGTGTCAAGTTGCTTGGCTTTGTTGCAAATGAAGCCAGTTGGAAGCCAGGAAAGAGACAAAAAGAAGATAAGTGATGTGTGCCCTCTAACTACCAAGAATGGTTGGCAATCTAGTTAAGTAAAAGTATTAGTTTTAATCATTTGGTTAAAAATATATTAATGTTGAATTATCAAGTGGTTGGCTTTATTTTTATGCATAATTTTTTTTAATTGGATTTTTTTGTTAGCTTATGAGTATATTAGACCCGATTTTGGGGACCTTTGAGTTAGTCAATTAAGACAAACTAACACATACATTACATACACAAGCTTCAAAACTAAGATCTCTTGAAATTAATTCTTTATGTATTCAAAACTCATGTATTTTTACACAAATTTGATATACACTGCAAGCCACCCTTGTTACCATAGCTCCCCATCACTTTTTTGCAGCCATGCTTTTGCTGCATGTCACCCATCATCATTGTTGTCATCTCAACAACATTCATGCTATAGTTGCCACCGGCTGCCCGCCATTACCACCATAGACCGCCACCCACTACCAAAAGTGCACAACCACCAACCGTTGTCCCCTACCACCATCATTATCAGCGCGCCCATGCATGTCACCATTGCTGTCAACTGTCATTCTCATTATGTTTTACATTACATTCATTTTATTTTAAATCAAACAAAAAAAAACTAATCACATGCATTTATTTATATTAATTCAAAATCCTAAAATATATTTTATTTCTTTTTACAACGTATTCCTTTTTTAGCAAATCAAACTGTTGCAAAAGGAATGCCAAAACATTGAATATTGAAAACAACCTCAATGGACAAATGATATAGTGTTCTTAAACGGCTAAATGAAATTGAAAATTGATGTGCTTATTCATGGATTAATAGTCATCCGTTCAACTCATATGAATAAAAATAAATCTAAGACTTCATTTCTGCACCTTTCTTATCGCTTTCTAAAATAAATTTTTAGTACAAAAATTTCTAATTCAAGAAATTTTTAACTAAAGAGCTTCTTTAAAAACATTAAGCCGTTCCAAATGAATCCATGTCTTAAACAATACAAACATTACTAAGTTTTTAAAAAAAACCCAGAACCAACTACTAGATGAAATAGTTTTTACTCACCAACATACTTTTTATCTTCTCCACCGGCTATTTCAATTTCACCATCATATTTTGATATTGGGTTAATAGGATGTTTATGATAAATACAGTTGTTTGATTGATATCCCTTTAGGGTGGCAATGGAAGGGTTTAGGATTTGGACAAATTTAGTGTTAAAACTTCTAGGCTATCCAATGGCAATTTTTTTTGGGGAAAAAATAGGTTGGGGATTGTAGATCAAATATTTGGGATGTTCGAGAACTAATATCTGTAATTTTATGAATTTTGAAATAATGATTAATTAGTTGTGATACTTTTTTAATATGGTTTCTCCCGACATAACTTTTCTATCTATATTTGACTTTTGGTTAGGGTATCTTAAGATTATTGAGTAGTTGAGGCATTGAAAGATGATGAGGGATGTGGGAAAATATTTGGGAGACTTTTAACTTTTAAATAGGTTGGATGTATTTTAGGGCTGAGGAAAACTATAATTTAGGTTATATAAAGGAGAAGAGAATCATGTTGGAAAAGAAGAATAATAGTGGAAAAATATAGCTAAGGACTCAAGAAAGCTTAAGGGATCAACCAACAAGATTCATCAGATAGTAAAACAACTAAAAGTCTTTTCGCATAAGATTTACATTATTAAAAAAATATTTTTTATTCAATTAAATTAAAAGTACAAACCAAAATATTATTTATAGGCCTTTCTAAAGCCAAGATAAGTTTGGAAAGCATTATGAGCTAATAATATAATATTTCATGAATTGATGATTTGTACTAAAAATAAAATTTAAAATTTTTAAAAATATGAAAATTTGGATTGGTCAAATAGAACAAGTAGAGTGGTCCTCAAATCAAATAATTTTTAAAGATTTTTGCTTCCTTAATTGCTATGGCCGACTTATCTATCAAGGGGGCCTTAAATAAAACTTTTTAATTAATTTTTAATGATTTTAGAGAGATTATGAGAAGAGCTTTAATGAATATTGAAGAACTCATATTTTAATGAAGTATCTTAATTTATGATTTTGTCATTCGCATATATCTTGGTGTTGCGTCGCATTTCTTTGGCTATATCTTCTTAGCTCTGAGTGCTAATAATTGTAAGCTATGCCCTTGGCTATAATACAAATCACTCTTATCATTTTAAGTAGGAAAAAATAATAATAATGATTTTTTTTAAGAACTGGGATATCTACTCGCTGCCACCCCCATTGAGGAGACGTTTGGCATACTAATTAATCTCTCGGCGGGCCTAGCGGCAATCAACCCCACAGGTGCTGAAGCGTGCACTTATTTTCTCTCTAATTAAAGAGTCACGCCGCTTGAGGGGGAATTTAGCTTGAGTTTCTCTATTCATTATGATCGGGTGCTCTCTTTGCTAATTGAAGAAATTTATCAATGTGGTGCTTATCTTTGTTGTAGGACTTACAAAAATTGAAAACTTTCCATTACAATGAGAGATTGCAAGTAATATAAATCTTCCGTTTGTTTCGATCTAATGTTTATAATCATCTCTATATGATTTTTTAAAAGCATCCCATTATGAAATAAAACATAAATTCCCCTAAAAATAATGATCACACCACACTAGGAGTCGTTACACATTTAGCCGCCATCTCAAGCACAAAAAATTCAAAATAAATAAAGCGGTTATTAATAATAATTTAGAATGCCATTGAAATTTAAATATAATGTAAATTAAATACAACGTTATAGATTTTCTCATATACCCCCATCATCTCCTCTGAGCCTACAGATGATATCTTCCCAAGAGATTGGACCATATGGAAAACCATCTCAACAAATATTCATAAATTTTGAAAAGATTGATTTTAAATTTTAAAAAAAAAAATAAAATCAATGCGAGAGATTATTCTGTCCGGACATCGGACCATCCGAAGGCGAATTAGAGCACGTCACGTCACCCTAGTACACAATGGAACACAACCACGGTACACTGCAAAAAGGTGACGTGACGTGCTCTGATTAACGACGGCACCCGTCATCCTCACATAATAATTTTTCCTGCAATGCAGTCTAATTTACAAAAGGTTTTCTTTAATAAGAATAAAGAATCCTTTCATCTCTTTGATATTAACCATCACAAAGATAAGGTAGAAAATGATTTTGAAAGCTTCAGAATCCAGCCCCTAGCCACAGATTCAAGTCTTACCTTTACAAGCAAATGCATATAGAGGTTGAAACATGATACTTCTAACAAGACTTTCAGACCATAGCTTTGTTCTGCGAGATGAATCAGGCAAGGCTCTCACAGTTTGCTGGGAAATGCAATATATTTGGCATGGCGAGCTTGAGCTACTATCTTTCCGGTCTTCTTCTTCCTTACCTCAACAGTTGAGACACCTATAGTATTCCCAGCCTTCAAAATCTTAGCATCAAATTCAATCTCTTCCTGTAAAATATCAAGTTGTATGAGCTAAGTCAGAATTTAAGCTTTAATTTGCACATTAACGCTATTTTTTCTAATAATAAATGCCAATGTAGAAAGAAATTGAAGGTGAAGTTCCCAAAAAACTTGTAGCAGATTTATCGTCAAGTTATAAAGCCCTCATTTTATTATGTTCATTTCCCTACATTAAACATGCTAAATCCCTTTAAAGGCGAAATGCTATGGATATCTAAGTTGATTGTGAAAAAAAAATGAGAAAATAAGATAAATGCATCAACATTAAGATAGTAAATTAAATCAATAAATGATTATATTAGAGAACATATTGGAGTGACGTTTATTAAAGATGAGAAGATTGAAAATAGAGTTTATTAAAGATAAGGCAATAGCACTCAACAGAAGTAGCTGCAAAATGAGGATTCAAAATGCCAAATACAAATAGTTAGGATAAGGCTAATAATGATGATGAATGATGACAAAATCTCAGGGAAAATCCAATATTATAATTCATAAAGCATGAAAAATAGTAGAGGCTCCTGGAGTGGAGCATTAGTGAGCGCAGCACCTGTGGTGGCTCTTCATTTGGATGAAGCACATGGAATTCCTTACGCTACTACAGAACATACAGGAATTTTAGAAAGGAAATAAAGAAACTATCAAATTCCCTTTCCCAATGCAGGTGGATGCATCAAAACAAGCACTTACGTAAATGAGGAAATTAAGAAATTGCTAGTTTCCAAATCAATGTGTCCATGATACACCTTCAATATCAAAAATCAGCAAATAAACAATAAATTTCAGCAAACCAAGATTTTTATTGATGGGAAAAGAAATACGAACAAGCAAAGATACAATGACCCTCTTTTGAGAGGAGGATCTTCTCTTCTAAATTCTAGACGCCGGTAGAATCCCTTACAAAAACAGCGGACAGAAAACACTTACAAAACTCATCAATAGCCTGCCCTAAAACCCTAGATAACTCTCCCTTATATGACCCTAGAACACAATAATATAAATAGAAACTTCCTAAATAATTTAAACATAATTTAGGAAACATTCCTAAACAAATAAACAAGATTTAAGAAATCTTCCTAAACAAATTCAATATAATTTAGGAAACTTTCTTAAATAAATTAAACATAATTTAGGAAACCTTATTAACAACTCCCCTTGATTAAGAACCTTCTAGATAGCTTCCCTTGGGCCACCCTGATGTATCAAAACTCCCCTCCCAAAAAGCCACCCTATCCTCAAGGTGTAAGGATGGAAATTGTCCCATGATCATCTATTTTAGCAACAAAATCTGCTTCCTGTTGAGAACCACTTAGCACATGATCTAGTTCTATATCATTCGTTATCTACTTGTGTTTCACTCTAGAAAATATACCATCTTTCAACAGTTTAACATCTTTGCCAATGCCATTACTTCTTATCTACTTACTCCAATCATCCCAGTCATCAATTATTTTTTTCCACTCA